AGGATCCTGGCCTCACAGCATGTACTCATCAGGGGAGAACTCCACAAAAGGACCTCTTAAGGGAGAAATCTCCCATGCATAGCTAAGAATGAAGCGCATAGAACTATGGAAAACCTTCATGTCGGAATATGTGGAACGCATATGAATGCTAAAATGTTAGTCTACAAGATTCAACGACAAGGTTATTATTGTACTAACATGGAGAGAGACTGTCACGAATATGTAAAGAAATGTATGAAGTGTCAAGTCTACGCAAATTTGCAGCACGTTCCACCTTCGCTTCTCTACACATATACTTCTCCATAGGGGAATCGACATCATTGGGAAGATAACACAACCAGGAAAAAGGGGGACACGAGTTCATCCTTGTAGCAATCGAATACTTCAGCAAATGGGTCGAGGCAGCTTCATATGCTTAACTTACAGCAAAACATGTACCTCAATTCATCGAGAAAAACATCATATGCCGCTATGGTGTACTGCACGAAGATCAGTGATAATGGGACTCATTTCCAAGTCTAGTGCTGACAAGTGGAATAACTAGGTCGTTATCTAATTCTCTCTTAGTCAAACTAAATTTATAAACACTAAACAAACCTTATACAAGTATGCGGTAAGTCAAGGGTCAAACCCAAAGGAATGAGTAGGAACTATGCTATACTCTATTGTCATGCTAAATCGAAGAATATTAATGGTTGAGTTTGGTAACTAGAATATCAAGAAGATAAACAAATTAAAGAATTCAATCAATATGCTAAACACTAGGGATATAGGTTCCACATGCAAGCTCAATGATTATGCTAATTGATAGATCGCTCAACTGATTCAAGCATTACAAGGGATAAATGATAGTTGCAATCAAAGGAATCCAAAGGCTATCTCCTATAAGCCAAGCTAGGGTTCACTATGAATGGCTAACAAGAAGAATCACAATTAAATTCAATCAATTAAAGCAATTCTCAAATCAAGGGTTCATGTCATTGAAATTTTCAATGCAATCTAGATTAATCTTATAGGCTGATCACTCCTAGTCTAATTAATCACATGCTCAACTATGTCAAACAAATTTAATTGCAACAATTCAATTCAATCAATGATCATCAACTAGCAAAAATCATCAATCAAGCATGCTTTCCCTTCTCCCTAGCAACTAATCTACTCATTAATCATGATGAAATTGAAAGACAAAACAAATTCAATCACAAACATATTCATTTCAAGCTAAATCAAAAGGAAAATCAATCAATCAACAAATTCTCAAATTTAAATCAAAATCCAAATCAAAAATTCAAACATTAAAGAAATTGCAATTGAAGTAAATTCAAAGAAAAGAAACCTCACAAACTTTCATTGATATGAAGAAGAAATCCAAACTTGATTGAAGCAATGTTGTAATACAAATCAAATCTAAGAATTCCAATCTCTACTTTCTCTCTACCTTCTCTCTAGTTTCTCTCTCTAAAAACTAAGCAAATGAAATATTATCTAAAAGTTTGCCTTCAAAAGGAATTACAAGAGTATTTATAGACAAAGAAGAAAAACTGATCGGCAGCGCCCTTTCCAAGAACACCCCGCGGGCGCAAAGAAATGGGTACGGAATCCATAACTAACTCCGCGGGCAATTTGGGCAAGACCCACGCCCGCAGGTACTGTAGCCCACGGCTGCGGCAAAGACACCTACGCCCGCGGCTAAGGGCGCGGCAGATGCCCTGTTCCAAGTGAAGACAGGGGGGCCGCGATCTCTCCAGATTCTCCGCGCCCGTGGCTAGACCACGGCCAAGGCGCGGAGAGTTCCTGCCAAAAATTCCCACTTTGCTGCACTTTATCCGCGCCCGCAGCAATGGGCAGTGCAGAGCGCCCTCTCCGTGCCCTCTCCAAGGAGCTTGATACTTCTTTGCTTAGCCCTTTTTGCTCTTCTTGATTCCTTTGCGAAGCCAACTCCTTAAGAACCTACAAAAGTAACCAAAGAGAGAAAATAGAAGAGAAAAAGAGGAATATAAAAGGAAACACGAAGAAAACCACATAAAGGAAAGTAAAACACGAAGAAAGGAGAAATAGAGAAATTAAAGGAGAAAAGACCAAAATGATAAAAGAAAACCATGAAAAATAGGGCGAAAACATCCTAAAAGACTACCCTATGAGTGCCTTAAATGACACTCATCAAATTCCCCCAAGCTAGACTTTTGCTTGTCCCGAGCAAAAAAAAATCTAAAAAGGAATAAGGAGGGCTTATTTAGAAAAGAAAAAGAGAGAAAAGAATATACACTAAGACTCACTAACGTAGGAATCACGGTTGTTTTTAGCTACAACAAGCCCTTTAAACCCCAAAGTCGTCTATGAGGACGAGTGAGGTCTTGTAAGGGTTTCCTAAGAGCTTAACCCACAAGTCTTTGAAATAAAATGAGGCAAAATCATTTAAAAAGAAAAGAAGGTAAAACAAAAATTTAAACAAATAGCTCTTGATAAGGAACTTCACAAATGATCAAACGCAAATGAATGAACACTTTTCTATATGAAATGGGTATGCATGCTTCAAGATATTCACGGTTGATTGAAACATAAGGTATGCTAAGCGTAGAGAAGTGATGTGGCGTAATCCACTTTCATCCCAACCAATCTAACCGCGTTCTCCCTATGGCTTCACATCTTCCCTTAGCAAGCGTCTCTATGGTTCCTCGAAGGAACCGGAAAAAAGAGTAAAATTTGAGGGTTTCTCGACATATTGACCTTGCATCCCTTTTCCTTAGGCTTTAACTCATAATTCCCTCCCTCGGTATATGACTCAACCACTAGGTCGAAAGGAATTTCCCAAAGGTTTTAACGTAAGGGCAAAAGGTTAGGGGTAGGCTAAAATTTTAAAATTTGGTGGTACACCTAGGTTATGAAGCAAAGATTGGCCAAACCTCGACATTAAAACCGAGAAGTCACCAAAAAAAAAAACTAACACCCCCAAGCTTATTCAAAGCTATGTCCATAAGCATATATACAAAAAGCGTAAACGCTTCTCCCCCAAGCTAAAAGGAAGCATTGTCCTCAATGCTTGAAAAGGGAAAAGAAATTACATCAAAATATTTTTGAATTATCTCATTTTTACTTTTTTTTTTCAAAGCAATTGTCCATGCCTCTTTAACTTAGGACAGGTTTTTCTTTATTAACTTGCCATTATTCATAATATATAAAAAAAATATAAGCTTGCTTACAAATAGAACCAATATCCAACTTTATACACCACAAATTCCAAAAATATGACTAATTGCTTCACAAAAACCAAAAATGGAACAAAAAGTAACAAATGGCTCAAAGTTCTAAAGATGTGGTTTGAAAAGAAGGGAAAAGGCTCAAATGGTTAGCAAGAAGGAAAATGTAACCCAATGAACTAAAAAGAAAGAACAATCCGAGAAATGAAAAATTACCACCCCGAAAAGTTGCCTTTGTCCTTCCTAGTTGGTTCGGTCTCGTGTTTGAGAATTATGAGTCAATATTTGAGATTAGGTATGCAAAGGTCAAGGATCCATTCCACACAATCAAAACATGATGAAGGCTTGAAAGAGAAAAATCCTCACACGGTTGTAGCAAAAACTTACTAAAGGTGTCAAATCCACCAAAGGACGTAACTCCATCTTACCACAAACCAAAAGAATCCGGCTTCAAGGCCCCAAAAGTTCTAAACCGCTACCTTAGCATACCCTATCCTAGAGTCAACCGCAAATACTCTCAAAGCATGCACACTGATAAAACATAGGCAAGCATACATTCAAAGGCAAAATTTCGAGTTGTAGAATGTACAAAGATAAGAGCTAAACAAGAAAAAAGAAAAAGAATAGCCTAAAAAATGTTTTATTTTTATTTCAGAGAAAAAAAAGAGCTAAAAATCAAAATAAAGAGAGAAAAGCACAAGAATGCAAGCAATCACAAGCAATACCCAAGCGTCAAACAAGTGGTCATTCGGCAACAACGCCAATGACCCCCAAACACGCTAGGTTTTACAAGGAAAACATCCTCGAACCATTCAACTCATCCTAAAGCTAATCCTAATCTAAGCAACTAAGAAAAGAAAGAGAAGAGAAATAGAAAGATTTCACCGGGCGCCAAAGCTATGCTACATAAATCAAGGTGAAAGAGCACCTTATGAAACGTCGAAATCCAAAGCATAAGAAATAGAGCAAGGTAAAAAATAAAGAACTATATACAAAGAAAATTGTTAGTAACTTCCAAACAAAAGCAAACAAAAGAATACTTATTAGAAAACTATATACAAAAACCTAGAAAAAAAATCATCATCATCACTAGTAGAAATTCAAAAACATCATCTCCAAAAGTAAGACAACATACACTAGTACAAAAAAGGGCTTAGAGAACGGTTGTAATAGGCTTTATAGAACGCTTTAGGACCGTTCTTCTGCTAAGCGATGTATAAAGTATAGAGAACAGGTCAATTAGGCGTTTTATATACTAACAAATAGAGAACGGTTGTTAGTCACAACCGTTCTCTTTTTCCTTCCTATAATCGTACAACTACGAAGGAAAATAGAACGGTTTAGAGTACTCAACAGTTCTATATTGCATTACAATAGAGAACGGTTCAGTTAGATAACTGTTCTCTAAAGTTTTTTTAAAAAAAAAAAAAAAAAATCCAATCAAGAGATCATATATTGCATTATTTTCCTGCTAGCTGTATTATTCCTGTATTTTATTTTTGACGATATTATTGAACTTTTTTCCTGTATTCGTATAATTGTTGTATTCTTGTATTTTATCTTTTACATCAAAATCTACATTTCCTGTGTAAAAGAAATTCATGATCTAGTATATACAATTTCAGTATATTAGAATTAACCAAAGCCATAAAAATATACTTCATATAATTTGAGACATCCAACAATTAAATTTAATCATTCATTCGAAAATTTGTTCTATACAAATACAAGTATATATATATATATATATATATATATATATATATATATATATATATATATATATATATATATATATATCAAAACACCTTTCTTATTGATGTTGATAAAAAAAAAATTAAAATGTATAATCTAGCTTAGATATACCAATATTATAGATCTTTAATCCAGATAAATCATCAATGTCGTCATTTGGTTGATGACATCCGGTAACATATGAAATCCATCTTCCCCTAAGCTTGTCGATCATTAGCTTTGTCAATATACTGCAAAACAATGTAAAATACATCGGTCTTTCTCAGTAAAAGTAAGGTTTTTTTTAGTACTATCATATTAAATCAGAGCTATAATAAGTGAAAATATAATATAGAATTGGTGAATATAAGTTTAAATCACTTTAAATAGGGTGATGAAAGCAAGGCTTATGATACATATAACGATTGTGAATTTGTGACTTAGAGTAATTATTGAGCATCCAAAACATTGCCAACGAACAATCAATGAATTTATGATGCACATCTCTCTATCTCAACAAGAGGAATAGTATCAAGATCAACATCTTCAAATCGGTTAAATCCTTACCTCAACAAAATAATACAAAATAAGAAACTACATGTATTGAGTGTTGACAGCTTAACACCCTAGTTCAACTGTTAAAGATAAATTTATAAACTAAGACAGGTCATTGGATGGATCAGGAATTTAGGATAAGATACTCACGGGACAATGCTCTCCGTTCTGGATCTGTGCACCTAGAAACTCAGCAGCAAGATGCTGAAGTGCCTTTCTACAAATTTCTTTACTCATATTAAGAAAAGAAATTACTATTTTATAGCAAAATCAAACTCACAGATGTAATTACTTATCATGTATTCTAATGGAGCATAATATTCTAAATAAATTAGTTCAAGAAGAGCAATTCAACTTATATGAAAGAAAAAGCTAGATAAAGAAAAGAGTATGAAACAAGATAAATACTTTATAAATGGCTGGTATTCTGCAATGTCACCATGTCTTTCTTTGGATGACTTAGTAAAAGTGCCTGATAACTGTTAAGATATGGATTAGTTGACATTATAGTATCAAAAGTAGGATGCACTAACGTATCAACTATTCACAATCAACCAACAAGAAATTTTCCTTTAATCAACTCTGCCACCTTATCATTACTATAAATTCACTTCCATAAGATTCTGATTTCTTGCTCTTCTCTCTTCATAATCAGCTACCCAAAATCCACAAACAACATGACTACTCTTATACATCACTAGAATTAGATTTAATCATCACTTAATTTCAATCACAACATCTCATAACCAGCCCTTTTATGAAAGAAAAGCAAAGCAAATTAATTTTTCTAAAATAATTTGCAAAGTATTTGAAATTAATAGAACATAATAACCTAGTGGTAATCAATTTCCCCTACCCCTCTTTCTTTATCTAATTAGGGTTTCATATTTGACCTAGGTTAGAGTAATTTGGCAATAATAATTTTGATTAATAGTGAAATTTCTTGTAATTCGTATCAATTAAGTGTAATTTGATTGAAAAAACTTCAATTTTATAGAATTATTTGCATTTATAAGAATCGATTGAATTCCCAAAAACTAAATTGTGAATTTTTTTAATCCACCTAAAATTCGATCGAAATTACTGCAATGGATGAAAACTATGAATTCATTACAGCTGAATTGAAAAATTCAATTGATTAATACAACTAGATTGACAAACTCATCCGAATAAAGAAAAATTTGAACGAATTACCTGGAAAGTGCAGTGGTGGTGTAGCGGTGCGGTGCGGTGAAGTGATGTTCAGCAGTGTGGTGGTGGAACGACAGTGGGGAGATGGGCTGACGGTGGTGCAGTAGGGCGGCGAAGTAGTAATTGGTGAATTGAGCAACATGAGGTTTCACTTTTCATCGTTTTTCTGAAGCAATAAGCAGTTAATACTCTAGTGAATAGTGATAGTGCAGTATAAAAGCGTTTCAATTATATGAAGCAGCCTATGAATAATTAGGGTAATTTTAAATATCCCAATGGTGCACATAAATATCCCTCTAATTTTTTTTTATAAATATTATAGAATAAAAAAGAAATACAAAACGGTTGTTAAGATGACCGTTCTGTATCATCTAAAATGATTTTATTTATTTTTTATTGTTTGAGTAAAAAAAAATAGAGAACGGTTAACTATTCTAACTGTTCTATATTTAATAACTCATAAAACGCCTCTTGCACAAATACGTTGTATATTCTTCTAGAGAACGCCTATTTTTTATAACCGTTTTATATTTTGTGATCTGTAATCTAGTTTTTGTGGTAGTGATACCAACTGGACTACCAAAAACGAAGCAAGTAAACCTACCAAAACCTTTTCAAACATATCCCCACAAGTCCAAGGTGCCTCCCCCAAACCTACCCTAAAACACCCTTTTCGACACCCCTCTCACACAAGGGCAACTATAGGAGAGGTATCAAAAAGGGGTAAATAAACAACCCAAGGGGGACTAATGGTCACTAGGGCCGGCACCACCATCACCCGCATCCCCATCATAAGAGAAACCAGAAGGGGGACCATAGGGATCCCAACCATCGGTATAACCGGATGGTCACCCATAACGACCTTTAAAAAGGTCAAGTTGGGATACGGTCAACTGGTCATAAGGCTCGGGTTGGATGCAAAGCTCAGGGTGTATGGGGTGAACATAGGGGTAGCTGGGATCACTCCTATAGTCACCCCCCCGAAACCCGGTAGTCATAATGACTGGACTCGTCAGGGAACTCGCGCCTAGGCACATCGGGGTTTGAGACCCCTTACCAATAAGGGTACGTAGGGAGGTTGGGCCGGCTCATAAGGGTAATTAACCGAAGGAGTGACCTCCCCCCTACGTACACTAGCATCGTATAAGGCGCTAGTTTGAAAAGCTAAGTTTGGTTTCCGACATACACACCTTGCATGCTCGATGTTGTTGGTAGTCATGTTGTTGTTGATGTTTTCTTCTTCCTCGATGTTGTTGAAAGATTTGTTGTTGTTGTTATTGTTGTTGTTGTTCTTCTTCTTCTTCCTCCTCCTCATCATCGTCATCACCATCATCACCCTCTTCATTTACATCCTCATCCTCCTCCATATCAACTACTACTTGCCCCCTATCCCTAAGGGGAATCCAAATAAACCTAGCCTCCCTACTAATAGAAGTTGCGGTCGGGTTTGGAAGCAAGCAATAGTGCTCATTTCGCACTAACCAAGAATAAACATCGACGTTCTTTGTACTAGTAATGAAGCATAAAGTGTTGAGTTGCTTCAAATTTAGTAGCATGTCTTCACTCCCTCCAACCGAAGTGCAAGATCTCAAGAACCCGTCTTGATTGAAATGAGAAATCAACCTCGTCACCATTCCTCCACAATGAATCTCACCGGTTTTAACCCCACTAATAATCGCCCGGCAACACTCCATAAAAACGTATCCAAAATTAACCCTAGGCCCAACATCCGACTTAGTGGCCATCCAAAGAACCATAATCTCTTCCCTTGAAAGCTTACCATGGTCTTGCTTGTTGAATACGGCATAACCAAGGACCCTATGAAGAATCCTATGGGCCAGGTGAATAATTTCACTAGCAATTGAATTCTTGGAGTCAAAGGTTTTCTTATAAGCTATGGTTCTCCACCAAGCACCCTCATTGTAAGTGGCCGGGTTGAAAAGGAGTGGCTAAAAAATATCTGCATGAGGGTTTAACCCAAGAGCTTCATTGAATTCGAAGAGGGTTAAAGTGTGTTTGACATTGAACAATTGGAATGAGATGAGATAATCTGTATCCCCCACCCTATTATATCCAAATGTAGAGAAAAATTCGATGGTGGGTTCCAAATATGTTCTAGGAGAAGTTTGAACAAACTCAATCGAACGGAGGTTGTGGAGAAGGATGTCAAGGTCGGATTTGACTCCTAACTTAACCATGTCATCACAATGGTAATTTCGTGTTGGTCTAAACTTTCGGGATTTAATTTTATTATATATTGGAGCTTGTTTAGACCGGTTGTAAAATTTGAGAGGTGGAAGAGGTAGAGTTGGGTTACTATCTTGAGGAGTGGGATTGTGAGGAGGTTGGCTTTGGGAAGATTGGCCATGAGAAGATTGGTCGGGAGATTGGTGGGAGCGCTTCTTGCTACTCTTGCTTTTCCTTAACAAATCCATGATTACCAAATCAAAAACACCAAATAGCTCAAAGGAATTCACACTAACAACTTCTCAAAACTAATACTACCACCAATACTCCACACAACTTCACAACACCCCCAATACTACAAAGTACCTGTTTCAAACAAGAAAACAACCAAAATACAAACAACAACCACAAAAATTAACAATCAATATCAAAAGTAAACCCAATTCACTCAAAACAATTTCAAAATCACCAAACAATTAACCATAATCATCATATGCAATCTAAACCATGGCAAATCAAAATCAAAGCACAAAATCAATAAAAGTTGACAAAAATAGAGCAAGGATTAGGATTATACCAAAGTTGTAGACACAAAGAAGCACAAGAACACAAAAAATGGACCTAGCACCAATCAAGCTTGAAAGTGCTTCAAAAACCCGAATTTTCCCAAAAAATAACGAGAAAAACGTTCCAAACTTGATGACAATGGAGAAAAGTAAGAGATTAAGGTGAAAATTTGAGTGAAATCAAGGAATTTGATGTGAAAATTATGAATTGGGGGTTAGGGTTTGAGAGGAAGATGAGAGAGAAAGAGGGTAAAATATGAGTGAAAGGAAAAAAAATAAGAGAGGAGAGAGAAAAAAAGGTGAACCGTGCATAATCAACCCCAGCACGCCGCGCTCACTCCCGAAATCGCTGCGCCCGCGGGGAGTCCGCGGACAGCATGCGACAAGTTTTTAGAAGAATTTGTCAAAAATTACCTTAATGGGGGTTCGCGGGCTCTCCAGAGTGACGCGCCCGCTCTAACTTCGCCGCGCCCGTGGGGAGCTCGCGGCAACAAACTGATTGGTTTTCTATATTTTTGCCTTATTGATGAGTCGCGCCCTCTCTCTTTCATCCCCGGCCTCTCTCTTTCACCCATGGGGCAACCGCGGGGAGTTCCTGGTTGAAATTTGCACAATTTATCATTTTAAAGCTCGAAACCCCCGCGGCCTCTCTATGCCTGCAGGGTGTCCTCTCCCCTACATCACAAACTCTTCTTGTACTCTTCTCATCATTCACCCTGAATCCATAGTTGATGATGGAAAGCAACCTATAAAACAAATCAAAAACAAGAAAAATAGTAAAAACAAAGACTAACAAACAAAAATAAAAGAGAGAAAAGAAAAGAGAAAAGAGGTTGAGAATCCAAGTTGCCTCCCGTAAGAGCTTTTGTTTAACGTCGTTAGCTCGACGATTACCACCCATTCAAGGTGGTTGTCGGAGAAGCAATGAGTGAACAAGGCCAAGAAAAGCATAATCAAAATAAATTTGTGGCGATGGCCATTGACTTTAAAAGAAGAAGAAGAATCCATCATTGAAACCTCTACAGCACCACTTGGAAAAAACACTCTTGACCAAATAGGGACCGCTTCATCTTGACATAAGCTTTCCAGGAAACAACTTAATTTTAGAATTGTAGAGAAGAAATTTATCACCAACACAAAAATCTTTCTTCTCAATAAGTTTGTCATGTGTTTCCTTGGAACGAGCTTTGTACACACTAGCACAATCATAAGCATCAAGCCGAAGCTCCTCTAGCTCATGAAGATCCAACCACCTTTTCTCCTCCGCACTTTCCAAGTCAAAATTTATCTTCTTGATTACCTACAAAGCACCGTGTTCAATTTCAACTGGGAGATGACATGACTTGCCATAGACTATGCGGTATGGAGTGGTACTTATGTGGGTCTTGAAATCCGTTCGATAGGCCCAAAGAGCATCATCCAATATTTCCAACCAATCCTTTCAATTTCTCGCAACCGTCTTTTCAAGGATGAGCTTAATTTTACGATTAGAGACTTCCACTTGACCGCTCGATTGGGGATGGTATGGGAGGCCAAATCTTTGATGGACTCCATGCTTCCTCAACATATTTTGAAAGGCATGGTGAATAAAATGAGAACCGTTGTCGCTTATCACCGCCTTCGGTACCCCAAATCTTGGAAAAATTATTTTCTTAAACAACTTCATATCCACCTTATGGTCATTAGTTGGGGAGGCAATGGCCTCGACCCACTTAGACACATAGTCGACCACCACAAGGATAAATTGATTTCCGAAAGATGAGGGAAATGGCCCCATAAAGTCAATACCCCATACATCAAACACCTCCAACTCGAGTATGTGTTGTTGAGGCATTTCGTTTCTCTTTGATATGTTCCCAACTCTTTGACATTGGTCACATGTCTTTACAAAGCCTCATGAGTCCTTAAATAGATGTGGCCACCATAAACCGCATTGAAGGACCTTAGTGGCAGTTTTAGAGACACCCATATGGCCCCTGCTTGGATCCAAATGGCACATTTTCAAAACATTAGGCACCTCTTCGTTTGGCACACATCGTCTAAGTAAGCCATCGACCCCTCACTTATATAAGATGGGATCATCCCAAACATAATACCTTGCCTCTCTCTTGAGATTCTTTATTTTATTCTTAGAAAAGGAAGGAGAAAACTCCCGACGTGCAAGAAAATTCACCAAATCGGCAAACCATAAGAGCTCATTTGCTTCAATAGCATATAAGAAGTCATCAAGCATCCTATCCTCAATTGGAGAACCATCATCATGAATTCGAGAGTCATCTAGACAAGAAAGATGGTCCGCCACAACATTCTCCGCTCCTCTTTTATCCCTAATCTCAATGTCGAAGGTTTAGAGCTCAGGAACCCACCAGATCAACCTTGGCTTGGACTATTTCTTGGCAAAAAGATACTTGAGAGCCGCATGATCTGTGAAGACTATGGTCTTGGAACCCAATAGATAACAACGGAACTTCTCAAAAGCATGAACTA